CCTGTCCCCGTCCCTGTCCCCGTCCCTGTGCCTGTCCCTGTCCCCGTCCTTGCTGCAGCCGCCGGCTCAGGTCGTCGATCCGCAGGTTCTTGAGGAGCAGGAGCTGCTCCAGCCGCTCCACCTTCGCCTGCAGGATCTGGGGGGACCCCCCGGAGGGGTTTGGGGGGGGTGGGAGGCACCTCCACCCACCCCAGCCCCATCCCGAGGGGTCTGTCTGGGACAGGGGACTGGGAACGCTGGGACAGGGAATGTGGGGACAGGGAATGTGGAGACAGGGAATGTGGGGACACGGAGGTTTCACCTTTACTGGGGAGGAGCAGAGGCAGATTTGGGGTCCCAATCGCAGCCCCCACAACCCACACCGAAATACCCCCCCCTAGAACAGGAGTCCCAGCCCCTCCCAGGCCCCGGGGAAAACTTCTCCCCACTCCAGACATCCCACAGAATTCCTGCCCCACCCCCCCAACATTTTACATCTCGGATGTTTTCCAGCGGAAAAAAACCCCGATTTTAGGCAGTTTTCGGGGTGAAGCCGCCCCCAAACCCACCCAGGGGGGGTTCCTGGAGCCCCGGGCTGAGGCCGCGGGGGGGGGCTGTGGGTGCGCTGGGAACAGGGAACGAGGGCACGGCCGGGCGACGGGGATGGAAAGGGAAAAGCTGCTCCCAGAGGGGAGCGATCCGCAGGGAGAGGCTTTCCGAGGGATTTCACGGGATAAACGCCGGGAAAACGCCGTCTGGCGCGGCGGGAGGAGGGGTCACAGCGGGCCGGCCGTGCCCCCCGTGCCCGTCCCGCCGGGATCGGCTCACCTGGATGGTCTCCCGTGCCAGCCGCAGCGCCTGGTCCTGCTCCACCAGCTGCAGGCGCATGGCAGCGTCCCCCGGCACCCCCCCGGGGGGCTTCGGCACCCCCCTGGGGCGGGACAGGCCGTGGGGGGACAAGCACCGGCCCCTCCTGCGGCCCCGGAGCTGCACGGGCTGGGGGGGGGTCCCCACGTCCTGCTCCCCCCTCCCCATGGCTCAGCAATCCCCTGACCCCCACGGGGACCCCCAGGGCCACATGGGGACACCCAGACCCCCATGGGGACCCCCAGGGCCACATGGGGACACCCAGACCCCCACGGGGATCCTCCAAGCTGTATGGAGACCCTCTGACCCACACAGGGATCCCCTGACCCCCATGGGGACCCCCAGGGCCACACGGGGACCCCTGAGCTGTATGGAGACCCTCTGACCCACACAGGGATCCCCTGACCCCCATGGGGACCCCCAGGGCCACACGGGGAC